TATATATATATATTTATAATTATATGTATATATATATATATATATGCATATCTTGCGCCAATACACACAGCTACAAAAGCCCATGTTCTAATTCTTGGGACAACAACGTGCACATGGAAATATCAAACAAGAAGCGAGATGCATTCCACGTACCTCTCCATCGCTTTTCTTAGCCTTCTTGGCTGGTCGATTAGCCTCGATTTGTTTGACTCTTTCTTTCTTTTTCTCACTCATTACTATGGGCGCCGGGGACTTGTTTCTCAGTCGACCCTTTTCAATACGTGCCTCTAGTCTCCTATCTTTCTTATTGCTGCCCTTTGCATTTCCTTGAAGTTTCTGCGTATCGCCATTCTCATTCTCACTGACACTCCCTCTACGCGATCTATCCCTCCTTCCACTTCTACGACCCTTATCGCTATCTTCATCTTTATCATCTCCGTCACCATCGTCTCGTGACACTCGCTTACCGTTTACCCGTGAGACGTTTGGTACTCTCACAATAGTGCGCTTGGTTACTTCGCTCTGCAGTATAGCCCCTTCTTCGCTGTCGCTGCCGCTATCACTTTCGCTCACATTTCTACTTTTATCGTCTGCCCTATTTTTAGATCTCGACCTTGATCTCGAACTCGACCTGGACCTCGATGCCGATTTAGACTGGGATGGTGATGCACGCCTCCTACCTACCGGACTACGTGCTTGTTCTGGTGAGGCAGATCTAGATCCCGATCTAGATCTAGACCGGTTATCCGTCGTATGTCTTCTACTGGTAGGTGAGCGCGAGACAGACCTTGACACAGATCGAGACAAAGAACGTTTGGGTCTTGATCTGACCACATCTGAAGCGTTTGTTGGTGAATTAGAATGTGACCGTGCGTGTGCAGGGGAGCGAGACTTTGACGGCGACCGAGATGACATAGAGCTGCTGCGCGAACGCCCACGCTTGGAAGACGCCATCTTTGGTTTATTTGTGATATGAACACTCACTTTCCCAGTGTCTCAATGTTATTGCCTGAATACTATTATACGTGTATGTGTAGGTGTACCTGATTTCCTTATCGCTAACCAGAGGTTATTTAGCGTGTACAAGCAAGTTCAACGTATGTATCTAAGTATAGTCGTCACCGCCCACTCCTCTCAAACCGGCTTCGCTTGGTAGTGTCTGTGTAAGCTGGCGTTGTGTGTGCTTATCAGCGCTCAGATGCACATTGTATTTATATATTTATATACTGCTGTGACACTAGCTCTATAGGGAGCACTGTGGCAGGATATCTCGTATATTTACCTGCACATAGAAATGAAGAGCCCGGTCCCTTTTGCCGCTAATGCTTTTGCTGCGTGTTGTTGTACTCTGTATTTTTGTGTAGGAATTCTGAAAACTAAGTTTTCCTTATATGATAAACCTAGTGCAAAGGGGGTTTTTTTTGTTTTTTTGAAAGATCTTTTTCCTAAATTTTATATATAAAATTAATGCACAAAATGACATTCCCACCTCTACTATTTTTAAATAGCTAAAGAGAGTCTCTATGAATTGCGTATTGTATTTTAATAGTTATTTCACAGTATAAAGCATCTCCAAGAGTGGCCCGTGCGCATACATAACTTTACAATAGTAAGTGAATGATCATTTGAATAGCGAAGGCGCGATCGCGCATACAACTACAAAATAAGCAAATAACATACTTCATCATCTACAATAATGGTGAGCTTGAAAACAAGAGCGCTTGGAATACCATGGGCGGGTAAGTTGCACTATGATATGTCAGCAGTGAATATTCACAATATCGTACCCGAATCATTCCGTACCCTGTATGTGATACTTTTATATCATATATGAGATTCACGGAAATAGTTTTGTCCCTAAACACTCTAGCAGTTTCAAGTATCATTCAACTAGAGTCATTGGTATGACTAACTTGGTGTTGCATTGTACACGTATGTTATGTATGTATGTATGTATGTATGTATGTATGTATGTATGTATGTAGGTATGTATATGTATATGTGTATATATATATGTGTGTGTGTGTGTGTGTGTGTGTGTGTTTTGTGTGTGTGTGTGTGTGTGTTTGTGTACACGTGTATGTATGTATATATATATGTGTGTGTGTGTGTGTGGGTGTGTGGGTGTGTGGGTGTGTGGGTGTGTGGGTGTATGTGTGTGGGTGGGTGGGTATGGGGTGTAGGTGCTGGTAGGTGGGTAGATATATATATGTCTGTGTCTGTGTCTGTGTCTGTGTGTATATGTATGTGTATGTGTGTATGAATATATATATTTATATATGTATTTATATATATATTATATATATATATATATATGTATATATACATATATAGTATAGTATATATATATATGTA